GCCCCCTGACAGGCCCCGCCATGGCCCCACAGTGATGACCCGGGTGACCGGGGAGTCCTGAGGGCCACGCTCATAGGAGAGGCCTGGCCTGAGTGGGACCGGCCCCTCCGTGAGGGAGAGCCTGTGGCGGGGGGGGCGCTGGCCCCTGGGAGCGTGCGGGGCTGGACTCCCTGGGGGAGCTGGCCTCTGGGAGGAGGGTGCCTGGCTCAGGCCAGGCCTCCGAAGTCCCTATTGGGCTCCTCCGTGTGTCCTGTCACTGGCACAGGAGCGGCAGGCGCCGGGGCCCATGACACCGGGACACTGGTGTCAGTCCCAAGGGTCAGGGTCTCTGGTGGGCGCTCTCTGGCCTGTGTCCATCCGACGCTGCTCAGCGAGCAGCCGGAGTCTTGGCGGCGATGGTGCCGCGGTGCTGCTCTGGCTGCCTCCTTGTGGGGCTTGTTTCCCTGCGGGGAGGCCTGGCTGACTTTTTCTGCCATCCCGACTCACGCTGACCCGGGAGCACCGTGGCGACCGCTGTCAGCGCACAGTGGCACCGGTTTCCTCTCAGTGCAAGCCCTCGGCCTGCATGACAAATGCAGGCTTTGCCGGTGGCTTGACGCAGAGTGGCCCGCACAACCCTGAAGACGCCGTGCCCTAGGGACAGCGTTGGCTTTGCTGGCCACAAGACGCTGACACGGCGAGGGCACAGTGCGGGTGGGCGCGGCCGGGCCCCGTGCGGGTCATGGGAAGAATGCCAGACCTCAACGGTGTGGATCCCTGTCCGGGGTGTCGCACCAGCTGTTCCCACCTCCCCATCTGCCATCCCCACAGGTGCACAGGATCTACCGAGGGGCTGGCGGAAGCTTCCAGAAGGCGCAGACAGAGTGGAATTCAGGCGCATGGCGGAACCCCCCGTCGCGGGAGGCGCAGTTCAGCAACTTCTCAGGGAACAGCCTGCCCGAGTACCCCACCGTGCCCAGCTACCCAGCGGGCGGCAGCCAGTGGCCCTAGGGGAGCCCAGCCCTGCCGCCCCCACGGCCTCCCCGCTCCCCTGCGGGCTGAAGCCTGCCCCCCATCCCCAGCAAGGATGGCAGGAGGGTGCCAGCCATGGGGCTTGCTCCCGCGAGGGTCGCACCCCTGTGTTCTCTCACCCCTGAGAGCAGAACAGCGGCCCCTGCCTCAGGCGCTAGCACACCTTCCTGGGGACGCGTGTCCTGGATGTCCACATGGCAGCCACGCCTTTCCCCCCAGGCCTGAGGCCTGAGCGTCCAGCCCCCAGAGCCCCTTGCGGTGGGGCGGGTCTGGTGCTGGGCTCTGTCTTGCGCCCACACCCACCTGTCGCAGGGCAGGCCTCGCCCCCTTCCCAGGGTGAGACTTCTGGCTTTGACTG